GGGGGGGAGATGATGGCAGAGAGATAGTAATAGCAAGGAGAGATCTAACGCCATATAATACTGCCAAAGAGAGATTTAGTAATCCAGAAACAAAGCTTTAGGATTTGTTTTAAGATTATTAAGACTTGCTGTCTGTGATTTTATTTGAGCTGATGAGTATTTTTCAATATAGGTGGAACTGCGTTCATACGTGAGTGAACCAGAACTAGCAACGATAGGTGGTGACCTTGGCCAACCTCCCAGTGGTTTAATAAGCTCTGACAGTGGATACCAGACATTACCTACCCGTGGTAAGCCAGGAATTTATGTAGTTGATTTTTAACAGTACTGTCCGTATACGAGCTTTTCTCTCCTAGGATTTTCTGGAGATGGTCTTTATCATCAGATCATTTTTTTTAGATTAACTGTACAATGCTGTGAAAGTCTAGAGATTTGATGCATTTTAATGGTGCTGTTACAGACAACCAGCCTTTTGCAAAGCAACTTAATAGATCATGCTTAAAAAAAACATAGCAAAACATGAAATGAGCTGTTAGAATGTCTCCTATATTCAGAGTTATTTTTCCTCATAATTTCTGTGTGATCTTTTACAAACTCAAGTATTTTTTTAAAACGCTTTTATTGCTATTGAAATGAAAGTGATAAAAAAAAGGAATATAATGCCCCCAGACATTACATGTGACTTGACATTCCATCCCCACTGTGCTGCAGTCCTGTAACTGTTTCACAAATGAGGATAGAGAGGATATTTGGGGAAGAGCAATTAATTTCTTAGCCATTCTTTTCTTACTTCTTTTCTTTCTAACTGTGAATGTTAAGGTTCGATTTTCTTCATAGATGTGATTATTTGTACAGCTTATCTACTGTTGTACAGCTGAGTTCACCCCATACCTTATTTAATATAAGCTTCTAAATTATTATAGATATTTCTGAATTTTGATCAATAGTGACCTGAAACACATTACTTTTGGCTGAAATGACTTTTCATGCCTCTCATGATCTCCTGAACTGCAAAATGTGAAATGTGAGCTAAAATGGTAACCAGAATGTCATAGAAAAAGCATGATAATTTAAAAAAATGTCTGACACTTGTCTTCCTTTTGTCTGTCATTTGGTTTTAAGGCATTCTCTTTTTCCTTATCAAGGTTTATCTGGATCAACTTCCAGATTGCACCAGTCATCTACCATTTCATCATATGCAACACTTCGAAGGGATAGGTCCAAGGTATGTTTTAAATCAATATCTGAAGGCAAATGTCTGAACTGTTCAAAATAGTTAAGCCCAGAATATATTTTGCAGAGCAGGATGTGGGATTGTAGTAGCATGGGAGAGGACCCAACACCTGTGATCTAATAAAATCTCCAATTTTTCACTTTCTTAAATTAATTGGGAAGCAGACAGATAACTTAATGCTTTTGAAATAGACTTATAAAACAAGGTTTAGAACCAAATATCAGCCGTACTAATAGAAAATATAGCACTGAAATATGCCAATTAATGCAAAAATAATATATGAAAATCATCTTAATTTAGTAATAAGGTAGGAGAAAGAGTTAATTTTTGTGTACTACTTATAAAGTATTAATTACAACATGTGTTTTGTGTGCCTTGTGACTTCGACAGGAGAGACCAAAGAGTGCCTTGGAACGTTTATACTCTGGAGACCACCAAAGAGGCAAGATGAGTGCAGAGGAACAACTAGAAAGAATGAAGCGACATCAGAAGGCATTAGTTCGTGAACGCAAGAGAACTCTTAGCCAAGGAGAAAGGCAGTCTGTTTCATCTCGGTCTTTCATCAGGCCCATTTCTGCAGACATAGGCTCAGTATGTTAGATATGCCTTAAAAGGACTAAACTAAAAATATATTTGGATTTTTTTTTCTAGCAAGCACTTTCACTTGAGTGTGTGTGATGCTTCTAGTCCAATTAAATTAGTGTTATACAGTATAAAATGAGTTCAGAGAGTGTGAGTAACAGATTTTTTTTAAACTTTTTTTACTAGTAGTTACAGTATATGTAGCAGGGTCAGCAGGTAAGTTGGTCAGAGGTTAGTGTGCTGAGTGGAGATGTGAGTATATCGGAGTGATTTCAGACACATGATTGATTTTTACTGGAATTGTATTTAGAAAGTGTAAGAAGCTTGTACAGTTTTAAAACTGCTTCATAATGGAATGGGCCTTTTAGAATGTTCTTATTCACCATGGATATTTTTCTTTTTAATTCATAAATTAGGCTGCAAGGTAGTCGTGGTAATACAGACCAAGGTGGTGTTTGTTTTTTTAAAGACATAATAAATGGAAATCAGTTTTAAAGTCTAATCATGCTGATTAGAAATTTATGTAAGAGCTAATGGGTTTTAATTGATAGAAATTCTTCTTTAAAGCTCAAAATGTAGAATATTCTAATAAGGCTCAAATTTAAGCTGCTGAAGAAAAGGATTTTTGTTGCGTTCTGAGATTAAATGCTGTACAGATGATAAGTTTGTAACGATACATTTTGGATACTAACCAAAGCAGTTCTAATTGGCAAAGTTACCCAGTCACTCACTTGGTGCTAAACCAAGATTGTACTGTAATTGCACTTATGCTGCGGTCTTTTAATTTATTCTTTTATTTGGTCCACTAGAGCTTTAGAATGATCACCTTGTTTTACCTAATTCATTGCACAAGATCTCTTGCTTTTAGATTCGTCACTCATCATACCTAATGCCTCTTTTTTTGTTTGCTTGTTTTTAATTTGCAGAATTTTGTAGTTATTTTAAAATTTCTAACTGGACTACTCAATTTTTACCAGGCTTAATTGCATTTAGTACATGTGTGTCAATTGCTAGCATTAAAAAAACCCTATAATATTCAGCCTTTCGTTCCCACAGCTCAGTAGCACTAATTTACAGCTAGTTATTTGTATTTACTTTCCCAGTAAATACGAGTGCACTACTTGGAGGCATTCATCTATTTTGTCTTCTGTTTTGCAATCACAGATTTATTAAAGACAGTGCATAATATTTGGGAACTGTAGAACTATAGTATCACTGTTATTTTCATATTTAGGTAGAAGAACTAAATCTGAGCTCGTTTCCTGACTCACGTAACATACACAAGTCAAATTTAAACATTTTTGTAACACTCCCTATTAACATTTGTGGCAAACACTTTATCTATAAATTTGGGTGCCATCTTGGTCTTTTTCTTGCTGTAAAGAATTAAAATAGAATCTTTCAGCCCTAGCAAAGTTTTGTAGAGGTCATCTCTTGTACCTTAAGGGCTTCAATATGCAAAAAGCATGTTTGATAGCACAATTACTCAAACCATTACAATTATTTAGCAGCCAAAATGGCAAACAGTTAAATGTATAATTGAAGTGCTGCTCAGTATGTAACATCTGCTTTAAACATACGTTGTATGTGTAACTAATTTTTAATCGGTCAGCTCTCAAGTGTAGTATGACATTTTAAGGATTGATCACAATACATTAATTCATTTGTTATATACAATGCCTTTTTAATGTAAGAGTTGCAACATCAAAGCCAATAAAAATACTGCTTCGTAATAATGGTTTGATGTTTTTCTTACCTATATATAATAACTTGAAAATGATACTGTGTATTTAAAATATACTATGTCAATCAGGCCTGGTTCGAATATGAGTAGAAGAATGAGTTTGGAGTACTCATATGAGAAAACATCTTTTTCTCTTTTGAATTCTGTAAAGAAACATCTTAATTTTTGAGAGATAATTGCCTTTTAGGTATTTGACTTTTTTAATATACGTGGAAGATACGTATCTTCTGAGTGAATATTGAGAGCTTGTGCATGAATAGGTTTCAATTAGGTTTATTAATGCAAGTAGCATAATGAAGTCTAAAGACTTCATACGAAGTTCAAACTTCAACCAAAACAATACAAAGATTTGTAACAGAAATACTGGAGATGCTTTTAAGAAACACATTAGTGGCTTCTGTTGATACCCTCAAACACTTGAGGAGATAATTTTTTTGTTGTCCTTTTTGTCCCTTCTCTTTCCCACTGCTTTTAATCCCATGTTTCAATTCTGTATAGTAAAGTTGTTGAGATCTGCTGGATGGAATGATGCTGCAACTGAACTTAACTTTTGGAACAAAAAAGTGTTGGTAGTGTCCTTAAGCGTGAGCTTATATGCAGCTGTATTGTGTGTAGCTGTGAAGGAGCTACTATGCAATGATTTGGGAACTCTAAAATTATGCTGCTCAATTTAAATAGGTTCTGAATTCATTATTGCTAAATATTTACCTTGTAAAGACAGAATGTGAAAGATTTTTTTATCTTTGCAGGTAGCTAGATACTTTAGTAAAGACATAAGAGCTTAGAAGTTCCTAATTATTATTTTTGAATTCAAGACAAGTCAATGCTAGTACGTAAAATATTACCAGCTTTAATCACCAGGTATTATTCTAGACAGATACATAAAATTTTCAAGCTGCAATTCTCAACCTGCAATATAAACACCCTTTCTGTGTAGTGATTCAAAATCACACAGCACTGCCTGGTTAAAATGCCAAGGACTAGTCTGTCAGTCCGTAGACTCACTTGTATTGACACCTGTGCTTCCAAAGACGTTCATGTGTAGCTAGTTCCATTTTAATCTGCATATGTGAAATTGTGATTAATACATTTGTTAGAATTTAATACTGCTGAACATTACCTGTAAAATTAAACAATACTCCCAAATCCATGCAGCACAGCTAGAGATCAAATCTCCCAGCCATATGTTCCAAGAAATAGAGTTGCATTTTCTTTTTCTTGTCAGTTAAGGGGTTTGCTCTGTGGATTCTTTCAGCAATAGAGCATTTGCAGCAGTAGTAATGTACATTGCTAAGTGATGAATCTGGCAGTATGGTTGAATGCTGTTAATTGTTTTGTATCTATTACCAGTGGAAACGAGAGCAAGAATTTGATTTGCAGTTACTTGAGAGGGCAATACGTGGAGAAGACAAGGATGAAAATGAATGGTTAAAAGTTCAGCCAGTAGCAGTGACAGAGACAGACCTGGAGCCTCAAGACTATGATTTAGATATCAGCAGAGAGGTAACACTGATAATTTTTTGCCTCCTATTCTCTGCCCCAAAATATTAACCTTTCTAAGTTTTAGATAGTGAATTCTCATCTTTTCTTTTAAAAGTTAGCTGGAAGTTTGAACTCAAAGGAGTCTTTTGGGTATTGAAAATTTATGGCCTGGCACTTAGAATCTCTGTAAGGTTCTTGTTCATACTGTGTTTTAGTGGAGAGAAGAAATTCAAAGGTTGGCTCTACTTTGTGAAATATACATCTCGGGCTCTATAGAGGAAAAAGTGATTAAGTTAGGCAATGTTATATAAATTGGAAAAAAAAGATGAGAAGACAACATTGAGAGTATTTGAAAATAAGAAACACCAGTGAAGTGAATGTTAGCTCCCCAGAGCTACCTTACTCTTCACTTTAACTGGCAAAACATGGTAGAGAAGAGGGAGCACTGCTTTATCCTGGTCAGAACAGAAAACACCTTTCTGTTGGCTTTTCAAGTGACTGGGTTGGTGTTCCGGGCACTAGATCTCTTTTCAGCTCTGGTAACCCAGTAAAGTATTTGTTTGAAATGCGATTGAGCCATCTGGTGGAAAAGAAAGAATACAGCAAGTGGAAAGATTCAGTAGGTACTATGCATTGTGTAAAATGCCGTGGTAGATGGAAAATCAGTAAAATTATTAATGATAGTTAGACTAGTAAGCACCTCTACTCTTCTGAAAGCTGTTGGCAATGTATCATTTTACATAGAAACCTTTGTAAGAGGTTGAATCTGTGAGCCATTATCTGTTGATCTCTGTGAATGAATGTATCTTTCAATTATTCTTTGTATATTTTCTACAGAAAATGCAGTGGTCCTGTAAACTTCAGAAACAGAAAAAATACTTCCGCTTTATTGCCTTTCCTTGTTGCACTCTGCTATTAAATTCTTTTCCAGAAGGCCTCCAGGGCTACGTGAACCACTTCGTACATCCAAATTAGTGCCTTAAGCCTAGGATAGGAAACATTTTTACTTCTAGGCATTTCTGTCCTACTTCAGAGGAACTGAAGCTCTGAATGTAAAGTTTCTTTCTCAAGTTACCCAGGTTGTCCTTTTCCATTTCATGTACCCATCCTCTTCACCTGGCAGGCACTTCTGTACCTGAGGTACTTCTGTGCCTCATAAGGAAATGTACTCAGTTGTGTCTTTAAGGCCAATAAATCTGTTGTTCACATAACTCAGTTTGTTATTCTGGAAGTGGCAGGATGAGCTGATCTATGTTAGTTATAGTATGGAGATAGGTATTTAAATTAAAAAAAAAAAAAGATGTAGAGAGAGTGCAAGCGCTCCAGAGAAGAATTGGATTTGAAGGTAAGAAAGTGTAGTGGAAAACTAGGATTTTTCAGGAAGCATTGGCCTTGGGTTTACTGAGAAGGAAGAATGAAAATTTGAGGTTATGAGTGCCAACGACTGTATTGTATGCTTTGGACCTATGACTGCTTGCGAATTACTGAGCCTAATCACTGGGGCTTAGGTCAGGCCACTTTACATACGCCACTGAGTTAGTGTGGACTAAGTTAAGCAATGAAAAATTTAGGATTATCTTTCTTTAAAACTTGGAATTTTGAAAACTGATCACCTCATGAGTGTTTTAACAAAAATCCAAAGAGGAGAAGAAAAAATGGTTCCCCACCACTTATTTTTATTTATTCACACGTCCTCTATTTGTGCTTTTCAAAAGCAGTCTGTCCTGTGTAATAAGCATTGGTTTTCAAAGTCCATTTGTAAACTGAATTTTCAGTAGGTGATTTAGATCTCTTATATTGAGCAAAAATTTCCCACAAAGAAACTGATCCTAACAAAACTTGTTGATACCTTTTGTGTAATCATGTTAAAATTTTAAATCTACAGAATTATGTGTATGTAATGTGTTGTTACAATTGCACAATGTTAGCGTATTTCTGGGTCAGTTCCCTAGACAACTTTTGAACACCCAGATTTTATAATCCAAGAATTTCCTAGAGATGATTGCAAACTGCTGTTTTTCTTCTCCCCACCCCCACCCCGCTCACAGAAGAAGATTATGCAGTCTCAAAAGAATGATACTCTAGATTAAAACTTTAGGTGATACTTCCTTTCAGTTGTTGGAAGTCTTCACTGGCACGACATACATATCACGACATTAAAATCGCAGGTTCAGTCAGTCTTGTAGTGGATGCTTTCTACTGTAACAACTTCAGTCAATGTCCTACTTTGGGCTCTAAGCCTGAGCTGAAGAAAGGTTCCCTGTTGATTCTGATTTCTTTCGTAATCCCCTTTAACATTTTTTCAATCTATCTTCTAAAGTAAAATTAATTGGAGGGAAAAGACACTGTTAAAAGGGCATCAGCTCATATCCAGAGGGAGTGTTTAGCATCAGGTACATGTATCGACTGTGAAAACCTGTGCTTTATTCTTTCCACTGAGTTTTCCCATTGAGGAGAATTTATCTCAATTTTCTTTCAGTCTTTGTTATTAAAAACTCGATGCTTGCTTTCTTTCCACAGTTGTCAAAACCTGAGAAGGTTGCAATTCCAGAACGCTATGTTGAACTGGAGCCGGAAGAGCCTCTTTCTACAGAAGAACTGGCAGCAAGGCAGCGTAAAGCAGAAAAGATAAAGAATATTCTTACTAAATCAAGGTCAGTTTTTTTTTTTTCAAATCTTATATAGGGGCTGGTGTTAAACATTCAGAACTAACTTCATACAACAGTCTAATTCCTATTGAATTATCTAGATGTGACTTGTGGCTTTTAGAAAATGCACACAGAATTTATGTAGTATACTTAAAGCTCCTTTTTAAAACAGGGTAGAAGAGAGAATGACGAATTTTGTATATGTCCATTTTCTTGTTCAGACCATCCTACAATAGTAGTAAATCCTTACCAAGCAACTTGTAGATGAGAGTGAGGAGGAAGGAAGGGCACAGATCTGGCCAAACGCAGAAGAAAAGTCAGTGTGAGAGCAAGTTTCTGTTTTCTCCAGAGAGCTGGAGTTCTGAAACAACACTTCTGGCTACTTACAGCTAATGCAGAGTCAGCTGAAACATTCCGTTTCAAGAATTTGATTTCTTCAAGTATCTGCTGTCTCTTTGGAAGACAATTAAAGAGGCTGTGCCTGAGGATGACCAGGTTATACCTTTTCCTCTGGGCACTAACAAGAAACATTACTAACAGCTTCAAATAAATAGCACTTTTGGTCGTGCTTTCATGTAAACAGTGTATTTAGAACACAGGCCTTTCAGATGTACTTAATGCTATGCAGAAATAGTGACCGAATGTGTAATGGCTGCATTATTTGTCTTTGTGTGCTGTAGTCATTTACATACAATATCTAACTCTAAAGAACTTCAATAAAATACGGAGCTCGATAGATGAGATTTGAAAACTGCTGTATGAATTCAAGCTTGTTCTCATGTGCGTGGTGGATTCTTCTTTATGTTTGTAAACCTTAATGTTGTTTTGCACTTTCCCACTAGTATGCACAATCTACAGCCTACTGTTGCCCAGGACAAGCACAACTCAGTTGATTTAGATTCACAGCTGCAAGAGCAGGAGCGCATCATTACCATATCATACGCTTTGGCTTCTGAAGCCTCTCAGAGGAGCAAGGAGGTAGCAGGTAATACTTAGTTATTTGCAAAATAACAGCTATTTCTTGCCAGTTTCTAAAGTTGTGTGGGGTTTTTGCTGAACTCCTGGCATGAGAGAGAGCTTTAGGCATTCATATTGAAAATATTGAAAATAGTGAAAAGTGTGTACAGATAACAAATTTAGAGAGACTAAAGATTTACGTTGAGTATTTGGCCTCTAATGGACAGGGTGAAGGGGACAAAATAGTATGATCAGTAAGTTCAGAGCTTGGAAACTTGCTCTTACTAATAGTACTAAAAAATTAACATTTTCAATTAATTCCCTATAATTGTATTAAATGATGTATTTCTATATTCATTTTTAAAAAGTAAATTGGTCTGTGACAAAAAAGTCAAGACAAAGGGATTTTAATTTTTTTTTAACTGAAGGATTCCCTGGTCTGGTGATTGAGATTACAGTATGATCATTTGCAGCTTGAGCTATGTATACAACAGGCTGAAAAAGACATTGTACAATGGATATTGGCCTGTTACTGTCTGGTGACCAAGCTTAGAGTTCAGAGCAAGACAGCCGTGCATGAATTCTGCTCGATGCCTGGAAATTAATAGATCCTTTGCAATACGTTACTAAAAGTGATAATTTCACTCTTGATTGCTTTATAGTTGAATATAAGAAAGAAATGTCAAGAGATTTGTATCACACAGTAATACATGCAGCAGTTATTCTAGCAAGTACCTGACTGGCCATTTATAACTGGCACAGTTCACTGTTCCAGTGGAGAATGGAAATAATGGAAACTTCAGCTATGATGGAGACAAAATATGCACATTTCTCACCTGAAGTTGCTAGTTTAAACTTATGGCACTTGCCACAGAAGCCCTTGAGATCTTCCCATTAAAGACAGATTATTCCAATATCTAGATGTGTAACATGCATCTGTATTAACAGACTGTTGATTGAGTGTGGCTGTATACTCACAGATGCAGTGGCAGCTAAACCTAAGGGGAATGTGATTTTAAGGGGATGGAATACATTTTCAAGATATGAATCTTGAGACTTCAGAAAGGTTCTGTGGGTAATTTAGCTGACTGGAAAGGATAAAATGATTCACTGAGGAGGCTAGATGTTATAAAAACCAAAACAATAAAAAAAACCCAGAATTGTAAAATCTTTGGAGCATTTCAGGAATAACCTTTTGGACCTTCAGGCATCTGTGCATCAAAATGGCTTCTCCGCAGGCAGTCTGGTCCCAGTTCTAGTAACCAGGTCCCTGTTACAAGGACTTGCACACTTTGGTTATGGAGTGGGACTCTGTGGAGGTATGAACCAATGCAGCATTTTGCCACGTGAGTTCTAGCTGCTTCTGGCAAAAGGTAACACTGAAGCTAAGATCAACCAAGATGAACGCAGCCCATACTTGAAATTGTTCCTCTGTGTCAGAACAAGAGCAGAATGCCTGCTATACTGAACAGTCTTCATGTGGCTAGTTAACTTACTTCTGGGTGCGCATGAAGTTGCAGTAACTGTACAGTACTGCAATATCATAGAATCATAAAATGCTTTGGGTTGGAAGGGACCTTTAGAGGTCACCTAGCCCAACCCCCCCTGCAGTGAGCAGGGACAGCTTTAACCAGAGCAGGTTGCTCGGAGCCCCGTCCAACCTGACCTGGAATGTTTCTAGGGATGGGGCCTCCACTACCTCTCTGGGCAACTTGTTCCAGTGCTTCACCACCCTCATTGTAAAAAATTTTTTCCTTATATCCAGTCTAAATCTATTCTTCTTTAGTTTAAAACTATTACTCCACTATTACTCCTTGTCCTGTCACAACAGGCCTTGCTAAAAAGATTGCCCTCATCCTTCTTATAGGTCCCCTTTAAGTACTGAAAGGCTGCAATAGGTCTCCCTGCAGCCTTCTCTTCTCCTGATGTCACAACAGGCCTTGCTAAAAAGATTGCCCTCATCCTTCTTATAGGTCCCCTTTAAGTACTGAAAGGCTGCAATAGGTCTCCCTGCAGCCTTCTCTTCTCCTGACTGAACAACCCCAGCTCTCTCAGCCTGGCCTCATAGGAGAGGTGCTCCAGCCCTCGGATCATTTTTGTGGCCCTCCTCTGGACCCGCTCCAACAACTCCATTTCCTTCTTGTGCTGAGGGCCCCAGAGCTGGATGCAGTACTCCAGGTGAGGTCTCACCAGAGCAGAGCAGAGGGGCAGAATCACCTCCCCCAACCTGCTGGCTACGCTTCTTTTGATGCAGCCCAGGATTCGGTTGGCTTTCTGGGCTGCAAGCGCCCATTGTTGGCTCCAGTCCAGCCTT